TCACTACAACCTCCTTTCAGGTAGTTATAGAAAGCATTAAGCTCTCCCCTCAGACTCCTTTTCTGTAGACTGAACAATCCCCATATCCTCAGCTTCTCCTCATAAGACTTCTTCTCCAGACCCTTCACCAGCTTTGTTGCCTTTCTCTGGACCCTCTCCAGCACTTCAATGTCCTTCTTGTAGTGAGAGGCCCAAAACCAAACACAACTCACTCACGTTCCCTGCTTAGGCAGTTCCAAATTCCTATTTGCCTTTTCCTAAATAATACCAGGGGGAAAAAAAGACACAAACAAACAAACAAACAAACAAAACTCCAGAGGGAATAGCTCAGCTTTGTTGCCTTTCTCTGGACCCTCTCCAGCACTTCAATGTCCTTCTTGTAGTGAGAGGCCCAAAACCAAACACAACTCACTCACGTTCCCTGCTTAGGCAGTTCCAAATTCCTATTTGCCTTTTCCTAAATAATACCAGGGGGAAAAAAAGACACAAACAAACAAACAAACAAACAAAACTCCAGAGGGAATAGCTCCTATTTCCACTAAAGCCTCATCACACAGATCTGGTCAGAGGTTTTTCCCTGCAGAGCTTCTCAGCCATACCAGAGCTAAGAGGTTGCAGGATGGGAATGGTGTCTGGGAGGGGTCACCTGTAAGCAAATGCACCCCTTCATTTCCCATTCTAAAACAGCGGGAAGGGAAAGCGTGTGCTGTTTAAAGGGGAGCAAATCTCTCCACATTGTTCCTGTTCTGCAGCTCTCCCACTTGGCTCTTGGCCTGGGACCGAGGCGTTTGGGCACTGCGAGAGGCGCAGGGTGACTGGGATGCTCACTCACTCGTCCGGCCGGTGGTGATGGGAGCGCGGACGGACGCCCCCGTGGGTCCGGGAGCTCCCCCCGCGGTCCTGCCGGCTGGGCTGCACACAGGCTGTCCCCCCACAAGGTGGTGGTGTAAGCACGATTTTCTCCGCAGCAGTCATCCCATCCCCGGTCCTCTCGCTAGAAATCAGCCCCCGAACCTGCTATTGAGCAAAACGAAGGGAAGGCCGATCATCATCGTACATGAGAACAAGTGGCTCTCTGAAAGATCAGATGGGTCCTCCGGCCAGCAGCAGGCATATGTGATTTCTGGTCCCCTGATACCTGGAGCAGACCCGCAGCCCCCGAAAACCAAGTGAAGAACTTCCCCTTGATGCTTTATCTAGAGATGTGTCTCCAACTCATTTCACTCCAGGTGAGAAATTGGGATATCACTGAAACCACAAGCACTTAAAGTATCAGAAATTGAAACCTCCTCCTCTTTGTGTTTACCTGAGGGATGCAGATGCTCTGATCTCAGCTCTGGGTTCCCAAGACTTTTGAATTCACCATTATCACTGCACCACTTCCTACTTATGTCAGCAGCACAAGGGAGGAACCATCCTTTAGCCAGAAAATCCACCCACTCGATCAGAAAATCTACTTTTCTGAACACAGTGACTTGGTAATTATACATTTAAATTAGTTGCTTTAAGTGTGGAGAATCATTTGTTAAGGCAGACCTGAGCTTCTCAGAGCAATTCATCCTGTTCTTTCTGTATCGCTGTCCAAATCTGGGGCCTCACTCAGCGAGTGGTAGGTGCAGTCATGGAGGTGTGGCAGAATTTCCAAGGAAGTCCACTGACCTCTGAAGTTACTGTGAAACTAGGAGCAGAAACAGGTCTGCTCCCAAGAGCAGGATATCCTATATTCACCAAAACCTAATAATCTGTCCCAGTTTTGATTTCCCTATGGTCTGACATTGATGTCACTCCCTGAACCTGCCCGTCTGCCCCTGCAGACATTCATGCAAGAAGGAAATCAGGCATACAGCTTTCAACTTTCACATGCTTACAGCCAGTTTGGCTCTGCCATCCCCTGCTCCTAGGGGAGCCCTCACTGAAGCTATGCAGATACAGCTGCTAAACCAGCCCTCTAGGACTGCATTATCCATTTTGACCCATGCCCTAAAGCCCCATTAGTATCTGGGACTCCTTCCAGACCCACCCTGCTGCATCAAATGGCCAGAGCTATACCAGCTTGTCCTAGTGAAGTTAGCATGGCCTCAGGACAGTCAAAGCTTTGTAGAGTTGTTCAGACTTGGGAAACACCTACAGATGGCTCAGTGACTCAAAAAAGCCTTTAATTTCATGTCTAAGTCCCACCCTTCACAGTGTATTAAAAAAGAAGGGAAATTTCCCAGAACAGAACAGAAACAAAAAAGAAACATTCTTACTTATGTTTGAAAAGCTGTTAGGGAAGTGAATAGTTTTTAATGTGTAATGAGCACCCACATCCTTCAGAGAGCTTTGGAAATCTTGACAATTAATTTGATCTTCTTTTTCTCCCTACTTGGATCACTAGAAAGGTTTTCTACATGCACATTTTCAGACCCTTGTTCACTGCTAGTTTTCCCTCTGTATCCATTTCATCATCTTCCTCGCAGATTTTGTCAGTCACTGCCACAGAGATTCAGCAAGGCTGTCTTGTAGTCGCCACTGGTGTCATCCTGACAGGAAGGAAAGAAAAAAAAAGGTGAGTGTAGAAGTTCCTCTGCATGCTCCGAGTGCTGACTTTGTCAGTCTATGGAATATGCCCACACAGGAAAAGGACTTTGGAAAGAGCAAGCCTGACTTCAGCAGAGTTACGGCCAGCTGACACACCATCCAGAGTGAATGGAGAAACGAGGTTTGCAGCCACCACCTGAAATAACATGTATCAAGTCCAATTCTTTTCTTTGAAATGCAGGTGAGCAATTGATCATGGCTTCATCTCGCAGAGCAGCACAGGCAAAGTCAGCATGAACAAGAGCAACCAATCCTGCTGTGTTCAGATTTTATGTCCCTGGGTGTTTGTGTAGCATTCTCTCCCCTACAGGAAGGGAAAGGGCTGTATAGTTAGCCCTGACACATGACATTTTTTTTAAAAGCCACAGATACAGCCATTTTGATCTAGAGAAGCACTACAGAGAATATTTCTAGATGAAAAATTGTCTTCCTTTGAATGTTTTGTGAGGACAGGTATAAAGCCAGTTCAACTTCTCAGAAGGAATGAATATTCTGCACAGACCTTGAAGACTGATCATTAATCAACGTGACAGACACTGACAGTGTCAATTAGAAGAAAGGGCCTTCATTACAGAACCAGACTTCCCATGGGCACTGTTAAGGATAGTGCTTCTGTACCATTTGCACTGGGAGAGAGGAATGTCCCAGAGTCCTTAGGAAAAATGGTAAAACCCAACATTTTACCCCTAACAGGAGAGGGTCATTCACTCAGAGCTGAGACTCAAACCTCAAAAGCTACAATGAGCTTTGACAAAGTTCAGTTTCTAAACCTCTCCCACCACAGTACAGACCAGGCCTTCATCTGAGATAGGTCAACTGAAAAAAAAAAAAGCCACAAACAAAAAAACCAAAACAAACCAACAACAAAAAGAAAACAGAACAAAAAACCCACCCAACACTGTTTTGACTTACATGGCACTGGCTTCAGCTAGTTAAGGACAGCAGAGAGAAAGAGAGGACAAAATAGCACAGCAACACGGGCAAAGTGTAACAGGGAGAATTAAACCAATCTAGATTCGTTTAGGAGATCATGAAGTGCATGAATACAGAGTTTGGTCCATGAAAAACCTGGAGCAGTCTCTCCTGAGGTTTGGCTTTGCCCGAGTTACAGAGTATACAATTTGACTCACCTTTCAGGCGTATATGTCTCCAAAGGATCTGATTGTTACTAGGCCTAATAAAGGACAGCTATGATATTAGCAGAAATGACATTTTTATTAAATACAACCATGGAAGCATCACACGGTGCTAGACAGATTAGGAATGTATGCAATGGCTAAGGATCAACCTATCAAGATGCTGCTTACCGTAATCATACTGGAGAGAGATTTTCCTGCAATATGCTTGAATTCAGCCTTTATAAGATTTAAGTCAACTTCACTTCGAGAGACAATCACCCTTGTAAGAGTCCCGTCACGGGTGCCAGACCCCTGAAATAACAAATGCATCAGTCTGTGTTGTTAGTGGGTGTTCAAGAGATAAGCTGTAGCAAGGTCCAGGATAGGAAGAGTCAGCTTTCAAACATTGCTTGGCACATGTTCTGTAGCACATCTGCTTCTCTTTCTGGAGGGCCAACTCCCACTCCCCTCCCAGGGGCCACTGTCAATACCGTTAAGTCCACCATGGAAGTGCACTATCAGTCTTTGCACATGTCAAACATGCCACAGAATTGGAAGCGGATACTGAATACATATTGTCTTTCCGTAGCACCACCCATACAACACTTGGCTTCAACTAATATTGTTTAGTCACTCACAGGAAAATTGAGATCACATCGATAACAAGAATAATCACTCATCTCAGCTTTCCACAAAGTTGGGAGAGCTGACATCCTTTACTTATCAGTTAAGAATTACAGGGACACAATCTGGAGATGCCTTATGTGTTCCCATTTGGAACTCTTTAATTTTATACTGCCATTGACAGAATTACTTCCTAAAGAGAAAATACTGTGGTTAAGTCCATTAACATCATGGGCAAAACTCTACCATGATCAACTTCCTAGAAAAGTATCTTCCAGAAGTTTTGTCTCTGTTCCAGAGGGTGGAACTGGCTTCTTGTGGACTCCTCAATCAGAAAATTCAGACTCTAGTAGTATCTCAAGCTTAAAGTGTACTTTCCTACCCAAGGTGTTTGAAGGAATTCTGCTATTACTTGCAACAATAGCATTAAACTTGCTGGATTTCACCAAAACTTTGGGTCTTCTAATTTGAATTGGTGAAAGCCAGGTTACAAGTTAAGTCCAGTATCAATACGAGTATGTTACAATGAAGTGTCTTACCTTCAAAGCATTGTACAGCCTTTCTGCAAAGTAGCAATGGACACTCCTGGTGCATTTCACTAGGCACACAAAAAGGCTCAGTAAGAATCAATGGTAATTCTAGTTCAGGGCAGCAGGTAACAGAGATTCAATGTGCTTTCCATTAACTTAGTGTACCACTGGAATCTGAGTTTATCTTACCTAAGAAGTACCCTTTACTTCCTACCAGCTACCTTTATAAATAAGTAGATTCATTTAATAACAGTCAAGTGCTGCAGGAGAAAAGGCAGCAGGCTCAGACAAAAGAAAAGGAAATGTAGTCAATCTTACCAATAGCCAGCATGGCATCCTCAAGTGAACCATTAGTTTCACTCTTGATAGAGTCTTCTATGCTCTTACCAGACAGTTTCTGGTACTCTTCAAACACTGTTTGAAACACAGAGAACCCCAGGTTTTTTTACCAAGCAACTGCTCAGACATTTTATGACCAATATTTACAAGTTTTCCTTGAGTGCCAATATAAAAACACATCCTGCTAAAACAATTGTCACATTTGCACCAACTTCAGGAGACTTCAGTCAAGCCCAGAAGTCAGCTACAAAAATAGATGGCAACATTGACAAAAAACCAGCCCACCCACTGCCTTCATTACAAAATGCAAGTTCAGTCACCTCATTCTATTGGAAATCTGACCCTTCATCGCTGTCTTTAACCACAGAAAGGAAGCACACAGCAGAAGGTTAGGCACAACTCAATCTTTTGGTCTTGTGTTTGTTGATGTCACTATTTTCAGGAACCAAAATAAAACCAAATTAAATCTAGGACTATGCTGCTTGTTACCCTTGGACTTTTAAATCATGACAGCACTTTGGGAAAAAGTATTATTTCATCCACAATTAAAAACAAACAAACAAACAAAAAACCAACCAACTAACTCAGAAAAGATGACGCAGGTCCAGATTCCAAGATATTTGAACTCCCACATTAATAAAAGCTCAGAAACAGAGTTGTTGTTCACCTTACACACTCTGCATACTCCAGAGTTCAGATTTACAGATCTTAGTTTAGTTTCCTAGCTTTCAGAATAACAAAGAAGGAAAACTGCTATGTAATGCCACGGACATCTTAATTAAGCTTGCTCAGCATTCAAGATCAGATACCTAAACACTGATGCTCAGATACTTTGGGGAAAGGCAATACCACAGAGTAGACACATGGATACAACCTTCTCAACTCAGGCCTACTATCTGTATTTTAAAAAAAGAAATAGGCTGTAACAATTAGTCTCAAGTTTTAAACACAAACAGTTACAGGCTGCTATAGCACAGAGGATATTACTTGCTTGGTGAAACAGTAGGTCCCAAAGATTGGCTGCATCCTGATAACGAGAAGTTGAAATTCTGTTCTTAAAGGCAGACACAGCCAAAGACTGGAGACCACTTTATTTTTGTTTTTTAACTGTCGTTTGGAGATTAATCTGAAACACAAGGGGGAGCTGGCCTCCAGCGCCTAGAAAACAGCCTCAGAAGACCTCAGCTTGAAAAAGCTCAGACATACCAAGTTTATCACCAGCTAAATTTATCAGTTTAGGTCCAACCGATTTGCACAGTACTTGATATGCTTAGATTCAGCCAACATAACAAAATCTGTTAGTCAGAGCCTTGGAATGCCTCAGAATTCTAGAGCTGCTCAGGGCAGTGGGGAGCTGAGGGCTCCCATAGCTGGAGCTGGGTTAGTGTCTTCCCTCCCAGCAGCCTCTGATGCCCTCAAGAATTCTGGTTTCAGGGCAGAAATGCAGGCTGCACTCTGTGATTCTCCAGCATTGAATAACCACCTACTTTTGCAGTGATTTTTTTCCCCAGAGGAACCCACATCCAAGGAGTCATGGCTCTGTCTAGTGCATGTCCCAACCTGGTTAGAAAACGACTCACTCTCTTTCCTTGAGTTCATAAAAACAGCTATTCCATCCAGCCGTCACCACTGCATACAGACTCCTAGATAAGCCACTTGATTTTCAGCAGCACTAAATCTTCATAAGTTTTCACAAAAGCTACTGGTAGCTTTTGGTCCCTGAGTGACCAAAGATTAGGAGACAGGCTCAGGTACTTATTTCTGACTACCCATCTACAGTCCTGCTGTTTCATTTTTGCTAGAGTGATTTCTCATTTCAGAGACTTGGGAGTATCCATACCTTTCAGCAAGTGTGTGGCACTCCTTGAGCACAAGATGGTGATGAACTGCATCTCGTCAGTGCCCTTTATCTTCTCCCCAGCAGCATAGAGAGCCTGTAATTTAACACGCAACTGTTAGAGAGATGTTCTGTGTGTGCAGCTGGTAAAGGAACAGAGTTTGGCTTAAGACACTGCTAAGGTAAAGGGGGTTGAAGTAACATAAAACACTGTGTGAACTGGTCTCTTCTAGAATGGTCTATTATGAAAACCTTTAACCAGCTTTTCTAATTAAATTGGAACAGCCACTGTCTGCACCCTTTCCAGCCCTCCTGCAGCATCAAAAAATAGTCTTTAGGTTTCTTCCCTATTTTCTGCTCTCCCACTCCATCATACCCATATACTTTCACATATCAAAAGCAGCTGAGCCCAAGCCCAACTCTCATCACTCCTTTTCGGAACAGCAAGGCTCAGCAGCATAGGCAAAACTGAAGAATCCCAAGTTGCTTCCACTTGAAGACCACCCCTCCTCTGACCAGGACTCTGCAGTCCACTGAAGCACTTGGAAGCTCAAGGCAGGTGGGATACAGGCATACCATTGATCACAGGCATTTGAGAGTACCTCTGCATCCTGGAGAGCCAGTGCTGTGTCCACATAGAGAGTGGCATTGTCCCTCTCACCCTGTGAGAAGAAAAAGAAAGGTAACCATTTCATCTCATGAAGATTCTTCCATATATAAGGATCACAATGTACATTCTGGGCAAAGATCAGTTATCATTCTCAGTTATTTCTGCAGAGTACTTAAGGAGTAATGTTTCAGACAGTACAAGTGCTAACTCCTTCACTAAAAGGCACTGAAATCAGTCATATGAACCACAGCCAAAAAAATTGTTAAGTTGTTCTGCTGCTAGGCAGGAAAATTCATAAAATGTGATGGGATAAATGCACTCAGCATTGAGGGGACAGACCCTGGAAGAGTGGGGAATCATAGTTGTCAGACACTTTTTTCTAAGTCCCTTGTAGAGAGCAATGGCTTTATGCATATGTAAAAAGTCTCCCAGCAGTAGAGCTGACTGTTCCCAGCTCTCTTCCTGTTGCTAAGGGAGGAGGTTTCCCTGCTTTAGTCACATCGAAGTTGAAACACAAATCCAGTTCAAGTTATGTGTTTGTCTCTGCAGTTTATCTGGTGGTCATGACTATTGCCTCTTCTATTGCATGTCTACTTCCAAAAGGAAGAGAAGAATGTGAAGATCTTTATACCCTCATTTCTCTTCTCTAGCATTACCTGAAGAAGGCAAACCAGAATCTTTTCAAAGTAGCCACTTGTTTCCGATTTTATGTCATCTTCCAGATCAGAACCGTATTCTACCCAGGGGAAAGAGAAGGACAATGGAAGGATTTGTTATTTGGGTGATATAGTCAGGATATTACCAGTCACCCGAGGACACATAGTAGCCTGACACTAGTCAGGAGGTCATTAAGGAAAGAAAACAGGGCTGAGAGCAGCTTACACCCTCAGTGATACCCAGGTCAGCATTTGCATCCAACTGATGTCCAAGGCATAAACACAGAGTTAATGTTAGAGATATAGTTTAAGTGATCAAAGACAAGACAAATTTGTCTTTGGAATTTGATAAATTCCCCTCTAGAGTGTATTTAATGGGGAGAAAAAGGCAGGTGCATAGATATAGGGTTTTTTTTCATTCGGACAACAGCCTTGGTTCAGCCAAACTGAACCAAATCTGTGATTTGCTGACCTTTTCCACTAGCTGGATGGAGATTTAGAAAGTGATTTTCAAATTCTCTCAGCATAGCCATGTTCTGTGTGCCAGGCTGAAAGCAGAGTTAGGTTGCATCTTCCTGCTTTTAAAAATCTCCTTCTCCTGCTGACAGTGCTAGTTGGTAACACCATTTCTGCTGTGCAATCAGGCAGTCACACATTGCTCTGACCAGCAAATCTGAGCCCCAGGCACTTTACCTTCTTTGTAGGCCTTGACTATCTCTTTGATCTGTGCTTTTGTCCGGGATGCCAGGATCTCTATGATAACATCTTCACTTGTTCCTACACCCTTTAATAGAAAACACAGTGGAGAAATAAAGGTGGAGAAAGGCACCTAATCATGGGGTGTGATTTATTGCGAGAGAAGTATGATCAAGTGAGAAGTCGGATGGCAGCAAAGTATTATGCTGTATGCTGAGCTGTGAGAAACTGTCAGGATGAAAGCTGGAGACACAAAGCACATTTGGTTTGAACATAGTTTCTTTTCCTGAGGTGTTTAATTTCAAAAGGATGATTATATATAACCCTGCACTTCTGCAATACATTTCTGGATCTGGATCTTCAATGACAGACAGCGTTAGAGGGATGTGGGGAGACCAATGCTTGCCTAGTCAGTCTATCTTTGTACCATTTTAATAGACCTCTCTGCATCTGAAACTTGAAAAGATATTGTATCCACAGGTAGGATCCCAGCCAGTCCCAGTCTGGCCCTCGCACCACCACTTCTTGATCTCTTAAAAGTTTCACATCTCGAGGCACCAGGGCAGTAGCTTTGTGCCATTGTGCTCCATTCACAAGAGGTGCTGCAGAAAGCAGCAAAGAAAGGTTCAACTGAAAACCGTCATCTTGTGGATGCTCCTTCCTTGTCAAAGCTGAGTTTAGTTTTGCTGTTGCCTTCCCCAGGCTTTTTGAGACATGTATGCACAGAAACTCTCATACACATACATTATGCGTATGCATGTGTAAACAAATATTAAAGCAGCACTTCCCAACAGATATGCATTAATAGCATAATTAACTATTTCTCAAAGGCTGCTGCTAATAAACTTAACCATGCAACAGTCCAGTTACTATCACTTACTAAGCAGAGTTACAGGAAGTTAACTATGGAACCATACTGCTACTTAAATATCAGCATGTAATTTGCTTACCTTCATGGCATCGTATAGTTCCTTGGCATCATACTTGAAAGGGGAGTACATAAGAGCTACAATGAGGCTCTCGAAACTGCCACAGAGTTCACACTTCAGGCATTCAATCAGATCCTGTCAAACATGCACCACACAGTTACATAAAAAGCCTCAGAGGATCAGTGCCAAGCACTGTTTCCATCCCCATGGCCTACAGCAATGAAGCTGAACAACAGTATTGCGTTGATAGTTTATTAGAAAAGTTCCAGGAGTGGAAAACACACCTAACTCCAAAATGGGATTTGTCTAGGTCCTTCTACGTTCCCTGTTGTCCCATTACTCAAGCTTCTCCCCGGTACTAATTAATTCTGCAGCAGAGTAGGGATAATAAAAATCTTCCCCCACCCTGCTTTACTCAGTGAGCAGAACCAGGCGGCCAAAGGTCTTGAGTTGAGCAAGGGATGTAGCTTCAGACAGAGCCAAGTCCCAGAGCCTGCATATGAACATGCACCCAGGACTTTTGCAGAATCAGGCACGCAGTCCATTTCAAGACAGACTTCAAACTTTCTTTTCACTATAACGCAGGTTTTTTTAGGGTATGATCCACTATGTTTTAGTGGGATGCAAGCACTCTATTCATTGTTCCATATTGCCCCCCTCACATTTGTTTCCCTTTTTTAAGTCCTTGCATGGCAGCAAGGGTCACTGGAGACTCCCATTTCTATGCTGAGCCAAGAGCCCATACTTCTCTTTCTCAATACATTTCTTTCTTTCCCTCTCTTTAACTGTGGCTCTCAGACAACTAGCTCCAGAGTATGGCTGGTGGGAGAGTTTTCCTAATAAAAGTAAGATTTTATCAAAGACAGAAAGATAGCCACAGGAAAACATGGTTGTCAATAACCACAGTTTGTTTTCATTTTCAGAATTTCCAAACAAATATAATTAAACGACTCTTTAAACAGAACTTTCTTTGACATTTAAAAGGGCCCCAAACCAAAGCAATATTTTACTCAGAATGCCACTTAGAAAGGTATCAACTTTTGTTATAGCTTCAAAAGTAATAAGAAGTTACACTTAAAATATATTTAAAAAAAATATTTCTGGTCAAAATGCATTTTACAAAAAAATTACAAACTTTGTTGGAAAACCAGTTGTTCCAACCAAAAATTAATTGCACATGTTCACCTCAGGCCTTATAAACACATATTAATCTACTTCTCTGCAGAAGACCTGCATATTGTTTACAGAATGCCTGCAGGATAAACTGTACACCCATTTACTATGCCCTGCATGCAGCGCAACAGTGACTGAATTGGAATAACCTTTCCAAACTGTGCTTTGTAGGATTTGGCAATCTGTTGACGTTGCATATTGCTCCTCTTGGTTAGGACATCAATTATAGCTTGTTCATCAGTCCCTGTGGAAAGCAACAATAAGCCATAAACACAGTGCATGGAATAGGTTGAGACTAGTCCAAAATCCCAGTACAATTCAGACAACCTTCCCTAGTTCATTTACTTCATAATGTAGAAGTTTAAGTATTTATGTGTTGAGGAAGCTAATTTTTAATTTTTCACATTAAAACATTGTATCTCTGGCCGCAATTTTCTGAAATAATGGCTTTCAACTGGGCAATTATAAGCAGAACATAGCATTTACACATGCCATAGGAGTCAACTCACCAAGCCCTTTCATGGCCTTGTACAGAGCCTGAGCATCAGGCGCGGGGTCAAAGTTTAAAGCACCTGTCACAGACTTGCCCTCCGCTTCACTCTGAAAGAAGAAGAAAAACACAGGACTTTTCACCACTGCTTTTCATCAGCTGAAAAAGCATTTTGGAAAGTAAATGAGTATTATTCATTGCCTACACACGGGGAAGGCAGAGAAGAGTGGAGGGAGGGGTTGGTTCAAAGCATCTTAGCAGAGCTCCGAAGAGCACACAAGTTTCCTGCCTCCAGCTGCCTCTACCAGCCTTCGGCTCCTGGCAGAAACATGAAGTGCAAAGCACGACCAACACTGCTGCAACAGTCACTAGGTGTTGGCAGTCTGATAGGAAAAGCTGAGTAAGCTACACTTTCTTATTCACCTGTTAAGTACAATACTTCATAACATGTATGGTATTGTATTATACTGCTATTAGGAACTGCATTTCTTGGTAGTTTGGTGCAGGGTACATTTTACCCACAGTTTTTTGATTTCATGAAATAGTTACACTTTCACAGACCATTTTTCTAGGTAGAAGTTTATTCTCCTACTGCTGCTTCACTTGTGCACAGATGATTTCAAGAAGGAAGTATCTATGCTGAAAGGATTTGGGCCAAGAGACTACTTCGAAGGAACAAATACATTTGGAGAAGTGCAGGCTTGATGTTCTCCCCTGAATCAAGGGCTAACTACACAGGAATCCTCCAGACAGACCCCTAAGGCACTGCCAGTGCTAGAGTTCTGGGGCAGAAAAACATGCTGAGACTTATTCCAGTCACCACAAGGTAGTGGGCCATCAACCAGATCCCAGGCTTGAATTTTTAACAAAAGCTGTTAGTCAAGGGACTGTCTTGAATATATTGATGCATTTCTAACAATAAGGTCCTATCAACAGCAGAGTACATCAGTAGTTAGTCATAGAGAATCATCACCATTTCATTCCAAAAATGGACAGCATTTTCTCTTCCTTAGCAGCAAAAAGATTTAGTAAAGTACTATATTCTTATAAATTTACTTGCAGGGTCAAGGTTAATATTGACCTAATGATATCAGTATGACTTGATGGATTTTTCAATGGGGACTCTTCAGTGAGGGTGACCTCAAAGTAATGGAAAAAACCACTTTCAAATCAGAGCTTACAGACCAGAAGGAATCACTATGGCTGTCCCATCTGACTTGCATTACATGGACAACCAAGTGCCACCCAGCAGCTTCCTGCTATGGTGCAAATCCCTTCTGCTCTTATCTCCTGTGCTAAAGAGGGCTCTACTCCTCTTCTTCTACAGTCTCATCCAAGTACTGCTCAGAGAACAACCCTTCAAGCAATCCTTGCCAGGTAGAAAAGCCTCTAGAAAATCCCTTCAGGGCTTGCATTCCTGGTTTTTAATGAGAGGCTGGAAGATCGATGGCTTCGTGCTCAGGAGTATCTGCCAACAAATGCCAGGTCTAGCCTAGCTCCTCAGCTGAAGCATACCCACACTGTGTTGCACAGATGCTCAGGCTGGCTTCTTGGCAAACCAGCTCAGGTGTCCTTGTTGAGTGCTTTATTGCTAGGTATAGCTGGCACATGCTTGTATTCTTGGCAAGCCAAGCTCTGGGAGCAGTGACAAGTGAGCAAGAGGCAATGATGGGTATCAAGAGAGGCAGTATGTTCATCAATTAGGAAGATCAACAAGAGGTTTCAGCTTGCTGAAGTTTGCTTTAACAGCCAGCACAGAGACAGACTCTTACGCTACCACACCCTGCTCCCAATGAGAGAGCAGCTGCAGAGTGGGCAGTGTCAACAGAAAACTTCTCACTAGATGCAGCTTTGAGTCCCAATGACTACAGAGCAGCAAATTTAAGGCTGTTGCGAAGCTGTCACTGTAGAAAGCATTGCCACCCTCAAAGGTTTGTCATCATTCTGGAACAGAAGGTTTGGTTGAGCTGGTAGGACCATTGCAAGCTCTCCTTTTCTGCTCCCCTGTGAAGTCAGCTGGCACCAAAACAACTGCCCTGGAAAGCAGGTTACTACATCAACCATCTGATTTTGCTCTGAAAATGGTGGACAATCCTCTCTAGCTACATACAGGTGCTCATGTGAAAGAAACCCTCTGGGCCTGTGCCTGGTGACTCAGAGAAGGAGGGAGTGCAAAGCTGAGCTTTCATTTGGAGGCAGCGGAAACAACTTAAACAATAGTCAATTTTTTTGGTACTAATTCCAATAAACATTTACAGCCCATCCTGGCTCAAGTAGCGCTCTCCTGACTCACTCATACACCTCATTCTCCTGTATTTAATTGTTACAGCACAGGTACGATCACAACAGGTCTCCAGAGTAACCCTGTTCAGTTTGGTCTTGTTTCCCAGATGAATTGATCCTATGATTAACTAACTGAAACTACGCAAACCATCTGTGTAATGCTCATGTGAAGATGAATAATTTGCATGAAAACAATGGAATCAGTGTATGATGAAGGGTTTGGAAAACAATCTTCTACTATCCTTTTGAGAAAGTTTTTGCTTTCTCATCTTCTCCATGCCTCCAACCCCTACAACACCAACAGGTAAGAGATCGCTGGAGCTTCCAAAGGCTTTTCTACTCCTTTTCTCACTCTAAGTTTTCAGAAGATTTCCAGCTTGGGGTGACATGGAGTGAAGCAGATCAGCAGAAATGGGAAAATTAAAGTCAGAGCTACTCCAAGCTTTGGAAAAAGTCTGTTTTAATGTACCAAACTTCCAAAAGGAAATAAGGAGACAGAGGGAGACCAGTAGAAAGGAAGATTACGATTTCCGTCTTTCTGTCAAAAAAAAGTCATTATATGTTTTGAGATCAGGAAAGATGCCTATCTGAAATCTATCTGAATAAAGTAGGAATTAGCTTGGTATTCCCCAGCCCCCAAGGTGTTTTGATTTGCTTTGGTTTGATTTTGTTTTGTTTCTCCAGTTCCCACTCCTCTGTCACAGAATTATAACCGAGAACTTGAAAACTGGTCATATTTATGCAAAGTGGTTTCTCACTCCTTGATGATGTATTGCACCTGAGGTAATATAATACACTGCAAGGCAGCTCTCCTACCCTTCCTGGGCACCTTAGCTGGCACAGTAGCAGCAGAGACCCCTTCAAGGCCCCCTGCTCAGCTCACCCCTTGCACAGGCTACTGAAACAAAAAGCCTTCTTCACAACAAGGTGGAGGGGGAACACAAATCTTTCCAAAGATGACACAAAAGCAGTTAAGAGAAAGCCTGTGTAGCACTGGCAATGGTGCTGGGCAGGGGACTGGGCTGGGAAAGAACACTTTTCTACCAATATTCCTCCATTGTGTGTCTCCAGCTGGTCTCTTCTAGACCTTTGCTTATAGGTATCTGGAGATAAAGTCTGGGGGTAAACCTGACCTTTCACATAGGCTAATGGACAGCTGCCATCCACGGCAACAGAGCTACGCACATCACCAGAGCTGCCTCCTACCTGGCCCAAGCTGTACCCTGGAGGCTGTCTCAGCACACCCCACTAGCATCCCCCCAGCCCGCCACATTCCTCCCAAAGCCACAAGAGTTTAAAAGAGAACATACACAGCATTTCTGGCTCCCAGCAGATAGATGGGGTATCCAAGACCACATTGTCATTGCAATATTAAAAACCCACCAAGGAAAATGACACTGTGGCTTGGCCACATCTTCCTCTGTGACCGCAGCCTGCCAGCACAACTGGGGATCAAAATGGGGGCAGACCAGTGCCCTGAACTCACTGCCACAAGAGCAGGGAGTGGATAAAGAGCCTGCAGCTTTCAGACCTAATGCAGACCTCAGCTGTGTTACTTTGCTGCTTTTCAGTACTGTCTCCCCACGTAAAAAGGCACACAAACACCCCCTGAACCACTCTCAACCGAAGGACCAAGAAGACACTGCTCTTCTTCTCAAAGCCAGAAATCATGTTAACACCTTCCCTAATCAAGGTTTTAGAAGTGCTGAAAGCTATTTTATAGTCAGAAAAATCAGTAGATAGGTATGGGTGGTATTTAAAGGGAAACATTCCCACACAGTGACTGATGCAACTTATAAGTCAAGGTATCTTACTTCAGTATTTCCTCTACTTACCCAGGCCTTCCACCATGCCATTGCAGTCTCAGTAGTGATACCTGGGTCTGTTGGTGAAGAAAACCACCCATTATCACACTTCACAGTTAGGGAAACTGAATTTTGAAGGGGGTGGAGGGAGAAGAAAAGGAAAGAAAAGTTATTTTCAATAAACTTACCACAAGAAAACTGGAATAACTGTACTGCTCAGGAGGCTTATTCCCTCTGGAAGCAGCAGAATGTAACTGGTCTCTCTGTGCTGAGGACACACAGGTATAAACCATCCTTATCTAAAAATTCCATGGGCAAACGCCCTCAAACATGACTCAACCTGTTTCTTCACACATGATCTCACAGGGAGAGATCAAGTTGCTTAATAAGTGAGGCTTCCCGTGTGAGGAGCCCTACATTCAGTCCCGTTGACTAAAGCTCATTGTAATTTTTCCACTGCTTCTCCCCCCACACACACCCCCTTCTCCACTAACGTTTTGGCCTCTGGCACCGACACAGCATACAAATTACAACCAGGTAATTTCTCAGCATAAAACTACACTGAGACTTGGTGAGTTCTGCTACAATAGAATAGCCACTCATTCATTATTACTAACTCTTTCTATCTCTGCCAATCTGGAACACAGCAAAACAGGACTCTAGAAATTCAGCAATCCCTTCTCCAGTAAAAATTAAAAAAACCAAGCATACACAAACCAACCAAAACCAACCCAAACCCCAAAGAACAACCAACAAACATAGCCACACCCCACACCATACATGTCCTACATCTTACAGGAAGGCTCAATAAAGCAGCAGACTGTACAGAGACTTGGGATGTTCTTCACTTCCCTCTCCCCCCCATACCTAGACTTGCACGGCACCAGTCAAGAAGGACCTCTAGGCTAACATAGGACAAGCACATTTAAGGCTATCAACTCTCTGTAATGCCAAACCCAGCAAAGTTGTCATAGGGTTTGCACTACCTGCTGTGACATTTTAAAGCTTAGGAGTGAAGTGTGAAATGTTTTGACTTGGGGGTTTTTGGTTTTTGGGTTTTTTTTTTCCTTTTTCTGTTTGTTTTAAAGAGATCTGAACAGCTCTTAATGCTTTAAGTTGGAGAAATGTTTCTGTGAAATCAGCTGAAATATCTTATGGTTGTAGCAATATTTTCCTGTCTAGACTTTTGTCAGAATCCACCCATGCCAGCATTTATTTATTTATTGTAAATGGAAAGCTGCCTTGATGGAAACATTCCCACCAGTTATATCTTAACCCTTGCTGTATAGGAGCTTTATCCTCTCTCACATTTACAGAGCCACATGGGATGCTGGGTAAACACCAAACTATGGACCTCTGTTATTTCCTTCCCACACACTGCTATTTCACTTAACTCAGCAGGGTCCCCCATGGCCTGGGAAGCTGCCCTGGATATTCCCAAGAGAATGAGCTGTGCCAGCTGATCCTGCCTCAAACATATCCATCATATGGCAAGGGTAGGTTGTGAAGGAGGAGGCATTGCACTTGACATAATAAGCCCGTCTCTAGGGTCTGCACTGGCTTGGTTTCTCGCCATGTTTGAAAGGCAGGTTAATCAACTGCACACAGCAAGGAGAGCTCATGAGTGGTCTTCATTCCTCCTCTTCCTCCTAGGGGTAAGATGGATTTGCAAGCAGGGTGAATTTGCTTTTGCTGGATCCCAAGGCTGTGCCTGGCTGGCTACATATGCCTTTTCCCTGTGTTGGGATTTAACTGGGCCAGCTTGCCATGGAGGTCAGCTTTCTCATGGACTCCAAGGACAAAGTGACCCTTCTAGACAGAAAACCACAGGGTCACAGCAAACAGTTGTAGGTCGCAGAGGGGAGCAGAGACCAAATCGGACAGAAAATGGGAAAAAGCCCAAGAGGTCATTCTTGCCAGCATGAACTAAAAGGCTGTTAAGGGACAAAAGCAGGGATTTCAATGCAGAGAAACACTGGCCAGATTTTTAAAAATCAATATGGATGGGCTAGAAATGGCCTGGAGAACTTGAGCTCTGTAGGAAGGCTCAGAGCAGTGCCACACAGCCTTAATATAGACCAGAGCAGTTGGCACTTGCAGGCCAGTGGAGCAGAAGGCAGACACTACAACCCAGTATCCCTTTTGCTTGTGCAAATGCTGTTGAACTAAGCAGCTTTAAACATGAACAGACTCAACTTCGCTACTCCTTGTGCCTCCCTTAACACCTGTGCTGTGTATGAATGAGCTTTAGCCATGGTTCATGCACTTTACTACTGCGTGCCAGAGACACACACATCTTTCACAGCACCAGTAAGCTATGTAAGGCACAACCTCACATATAGCTCAGTGGTTACCCTCAGGACCACGCAAAACTTCAGAAAAGCAGCAAAATATGATGCATGAGTTCTCTCAAGCCTCACGGTCTCACTGCCCCCTCCACATTCAGGAGGCCATTTTTGCACTTCAGGTAATACTCCTTTTGGAAAGTGAACTCCAGATGCACTAACAAGACTGTCAGTAGAAACTCCACCCATCATCATATTAAGGTGGTTAGAATTTGACTCAGAGAGTCGTACTGTTTGTACTGTGGTACCCCACAAAATACAGTCATCTCTCAACTATCTACAAGATGGTTGCCTGGGCAGTTAGTCAATCATGCTATGGGTACAGACACCCATAAATTGTCTCCACAGTGAATCTTTCTCAAGTCTCATCCACAGGCCTCCTCTAGGCTTTCAGAGAGTCCCTGCTCCTGCCGATATGCCCGACACAGCCATCAGTCAGCAAGAGTGGGAAGCAGCAGCACATGCACCATAATCAGGTTTGGTTTGTGGGTTTTTTTGGTCCAAACCAGTTTCCAGCTAGACAAAATGAAGAAGCTACCAGGGTACTTTGCTTATCTTGACTCCAGCCTTGGGACTTTCCAAGCTTGAATCAGTGACATTGGAGCCACCCCTGATATATATTCAACCAGTGTAAGAAAAACTGTACAAGAAATAACAAGCAGGATTTCACTCAACCTTTTTCAAACCCCAAAAACATTTAAGCCATGAAATAAAGATGCTGATAGCCTTAGAACAGTGCATTACTGGCATTGTTTCAAGAAGATTTCATCACCCATAAAGCTCCAATTGCTGTGTTTTAGGTCAAATGAAAGCAATCTAAAGGATACTGTAATTTAGATTGAGGGTGACTAAAATCTTCTAGGGTACAGAGGCAGGCCCCTTTTCTGCTTTCCCATCTGTAGGTTTGTAAAGTCTGGCCCTGTGCCTGGAAAGTTTCAGGCTAAGAGCTGACTGCTTTGGAACATGAAAGCTTATGGAAACCAGGTTCTCAACTGCTCAGCAATTTAACTTACTCCATGGCTTTCACTTCTATCAGAGCTTTTCTCAAGCCTAACAAGTACAGCACAGCCCACTGGGAATTTCACCCCAAAGTTTGTATTTGTTTGTTTGTTTCAGTCATGAACTTGGAAATCAACCAGAATCATTGTGGAAACAACAGACCAAACACAGAAAGATACTTCTATGCAAAGCAATAGTCTGACGAATCATGTAACATAACTACTTAAGTTTAAGGAAATTAGAGCTCACGCCTCAGACCAAACAGGGGAAAGATATTCTGTTACAAGGCTAAACGCTTAATAACTTTCTCCAATCCAGTCTGTAAGTAATACCACATAGAGCTGTAGCTCTGATGATGAGACAGTTCAGCAAACTGCAGTTTTATACATAAAATAAATCACTAAATGCATGTAGTATACTATGCTTTCCAGGTCTGGACGTAACCCCCTTGCTTACAAGTCTTTTAACTCTACACCCATCAATAACAACACTTTGCCCTACCTCCAGTGATTTATATCAGTCTCTTGCCCCAGCAGCTGCTATGTTTGCAGACTTGTACTCTCTCACTGTGTAAACCACACTGGTTTCATTCGACAGATTTTAGGTCACTGTGCAAACAAGCCCAGAGACCAGCCACTACCTTCTTCTTCCATTGTTCTCTTTTTAAAAATTATTATTTTATTCTCCTTTCTCCCTGTTGAGAACTGCTTACATGGATACAAGCAGCTGAATGCCCTCACAGTTCTTAAGAGCAAATGCCCTTACATCTACTAATCGCCATCACCTGAAATCAGATCATTATATGGGAGAGCTGTGTAAATTTGCCAGCAAGCCTATCCAAACAAAAAGTTATTGTCTGTTTATGAAAGAAGTGTGAGCAGAGGAAAATGAGCAGGTGGGGAAGGCAGCAGTTCTGAGTAAGGAGAGCATCTGTAAAGCAAAAATAGAGGCACTAAAGCCTAAAAAAAATATATTCACATACCTGGCAGCTCACTGCTCATTCTGCCCTTTCCTCTTGTGCCTTTGAACTATCTTTCACAGTGAAAATGACCCCAAAATAGGCTTATTTCCATTTGAAAATCACTCCCACTGCTTATTTTCCAAGTTTCCTTTATTACCACAAGTAGCTTTGTGTGAAGTATCATAAGACAAAATTCATGTCTGTATGTTGCGGTGGGTGTTCAATCACGGAAGCAATACAGTAAAAACTCAGGGCTTGATTCCCCTCAGCACCTTCGCAGCTGAGAGGATGAGCCCTGGGGTCAGCAGGGACAGCCAGTGCTGCAGAAGACCCTGTACAGAGTTTGCAATGGGGTGTTGGATTCATCTTTCCAAGACACCTTTGCTTCACAGGGCCCCTCTGCTGCCAGTGGGAGAGCCAGGGTGAGGCACTAATAGGAAAGCAGCAGAGCACCACAACCCCTTGACTTACTCTGGCTCTGCTCTGCTTCTGGCTGACTCTGGCTGAGCATTTTTCTGCTCATTCCTTTCTTGCTGGTGCCAAGGAATTCCTCTCAGTCGCCCTAACAACTGCTCCCTATGCAAAGCAGGCAATTGCCACTCTTGTTTAACCCTAAAGGTCAACAAAGAAAGCACCCTCTGAATCAGAATGGGCAAAGGCAGCTCACTTGGGTCTGATGGGGGCATGACAGATGCCAGGAGTTCACATGCCAGCAGCGGGTGGGAAGTCTTTGGATGCTTACTTGT